GAGACCGGAAGCCGGAAACCGTTCGGAGAAATAAAGATCGGCACTATTTCTCCGAACGTTCGGAGAAATAGTCACTTCGAAATTTTAATGAATAGATCTACCGGTCCGAGATTCTCCATTGAGAGATATTAAAAACGGGAAAATTATGAATTCCTAAGGTTGAGACACAGGCAAAGTCAGTCCGCTGGTCCGGTATTCTTCAATCTTACCTCATTCAGTTTCAAGTCGATCTCTAGGCCTAAATCCAAACTACCAATCATCAACATTCAAATAGGCCTAACACTATGGCATGGTGATTTAAAGGTGCTCTCAGAGTCACACTAGGAGGTCACTAGACTAGTAATATATTTATACAGTGAGCTTGTGATCATGTGTTGTCATACTGCTGTACCATGAGTCGTTCTTTCTCATTTTTAGTGTACGCAATGGCTAATTTCATGGCGCTGTGAACTTAGTTTGCAGGCTACATTCGCGGCGCACTTAATCATCCACCATTGGCACAGCGAGGCACGACTGAAATGCTACTGTACTGTCACCCATAGTTCAAAGTGAATGAGAAAACAGCTCAGGAATACTCGCGTGAAAAATGATGCAGTGGTGGTCTGAATGCAACGGAGTTTACGGAGGGTGAAGGCGGGCACAGCAAAACAGCCCCGGTTGACAAGGGCTCGCTCGCTCTGCGGACCCGGCAAAGCTCGACAATTTGAAAACAAAATGAAAATAAAAGGCGTTCGAAGAAACAATGGAGAATGGAAGAAGGCCAAGGCAAGAAGAGGAGTGGGAGGGGTGAAAAAAAAAAAAGAAGAAGAAGCAAAAAGGGTAGGGGGTGAAGTGAACAAGATCATTCTTAAATTGCAAACTACATTCAGGGCGCTGTCAACATAGCCTGCAAACTACGTTCACCGCTCCGTGAACATAGCCATGCACTGCATTTAGTTTATAAATTCATGCTGACTCACAGTTTTGTTGTCATCCCCTCCTGACTGTCATGATGCATAGTCTGACGTACCACACTCAATGGGGGAGGAGTTCTACAGGGGCCGGCACTTACCGTGACAAGGTCCACTGAACATTGAACTATACAAGAGTTAGGGTTAGGTGTTGTTGGTTGGCAGGCGCTCTGTGGAACTCCTTCCCTCAATGGTGATGTCAACCAAGTCGGCGAATTCAACAATTGCCCACACGGAAAGAGGCACATATATGAAGTTGCTGCGAATAGTACTTTTTGTGTTGTTAATTTGAAGAATGAATTTTAACGAAGTTGCTTGAGTGTAAGCAACGAGGGAGAGGTACTCAGCAGATATGGTGTCTTGGCCCAAAACAATACTCCTCTCCCCCTTTCCACCTTCATCCCAGTCATCCCAATTCCATTATTAGCATTTGACACAGTTACATGCAATGAAGAAAGTGTAATAATGATCGGAAATTTCTTGTGTGTTTTACTTTGTTAAAAATACATGTGTGTTAAATATCCTTGCCCTCTTACATACTTCTGGAAAAGGTCAGTAAAATATTTAAAAAAATACAAGTCAAATAAGCAAAAAGCCATCATTGTAAATTTTATAATTAATTTTTAATAAAAAAAGCTAAATATGTGATCTTAACAATTCTCATGATGATATTACTTATGAATTTTAAATCATTGTCTTTGAATGATGTTGCAGAAAAACAGCACTCATGAGGTAAACCCAGTGAGTTAAAGGTGCAAATTCTCCATATCAATCCAGCTTTGGACCACAGAAGAAGAGATATGTCTTCATTACAAATTCTTTGCTGTCAAGCTATTAGTTTTGAAATCGGGAAATTTCCTGAAAGTATCCTTGAAGGTAAGTCAAAGTGCTAAACTCTTTTGATAGTGTAGTGCCTAAGTTTTCTTCTTACAGAGCTCTCTGCAGAAATGACAATGTTAGTAAGTTTTAATAACACTCTGGGCGGCTTTAAGGGGGCAAACCTATTATTTTTGCCTACCAAACACAACCACTGAATCCATGGGAGATCAACAATAGTTTTCAAGAAAATCAGATAGATTTATAGATAGAGAGATAATTGATAGACGAAAAAAAATAGCATTTTGATTATACATCCTGGATTGGGGCAGTAGCGGTAATCTTCATCGATGTTATGTTATGAACTGGTTACTGATTGTGCCCTTTTGCTGAGATTATTGCCTCTCTAATAACACAGGGATAGTTGGTATCGCTGTGGTGTTATCAGCGCCTATTTCTTATCCGAGTGAATGTGATAATAATAATATGTTTTCATAATCTGCAACTGGCATAATCAGGCTATAGTGCAGCTAGACATGCCGTACACTTCAGCTTATAAATTTTAAGCTAACTTGACCTGCAATTACAGTAGGAAATAACGGTTGCCATTTTGTCAAGTCAGAATATTATGATCATCTCATATTTTTTAAACCTTTTGTCTAGATTTAAATCAACCCTGCCTATGCCTGCTGGTCCAGCATTTGTGTTTGATTGATCTACTCAAGCTAAGCCCCTTCCTTAAAGCAAGAGGTAAGTGAGCACCAGTCAATATTTTAACGAGTCCCCCCATCTTTCTGGGTGGTTTTTGAGGGGTGGGTTGAAGCAGCATGCCTCTAAAATAGTCAGAAATAGTATTAATGTGAATATGAATTGTTAACAATTACTGTTTGAGGACATATTCCATCTCTTGCATACTTTTACTTTTTGAAAAGTTCTTAATGTCGAGCCAAAAGGGGATGACAATTACAGTAGATCTTGTGTGCTTTTTAAAATAAATTCTTCGGCACGTTGGATGTATGTCTATGGCAGCCATTGCACCAATTCTTACATTATCAAAGACATAATTTTCCTCCTGGCACTACATTGTTATACAATTCATTTTTTTCTATTAGTTAAAGGTGGCTTATGGTGAACATAAAGTTTGACCTTTAAAATCTGCTTTTAATTTTCTAAGCTTTTAAAGATTTGTTAAAAAGGCAGTAAAAGAATGTCTTTGGTGATGGAGGAAGGCACGTTACTAACATGTCGTACAGGCAGGAACATACAAACAATCCAATAAGCATTTTAAACATTGACTATAACATTAGTCATGATGCAAAGAAGGAGTTCTTGAAAAATTGACTTAGGTAAGTTGATCAGCTGACTAAAAGAATCAAAGAACCAGTAGTATTGGAATGACACTTTTCTCCTCCCTCTCTCTAACCGCAGCTAATGAGTCTGTTTCTGCTGTTTGACTTGAATCTCCATTACAGATATCCCAACAGAAGCTGTTGTCAACAATGTGCAGAGGTTACAGTTCAAGCATGTGGATGCCTATCCCATCAAAGATGCCACTTGCCCACATTTGCTCAACTTGTTCCCTCGGGACAGCTGGGACTGGGCCCTGTCGCGACTGCTCTACCGACGCCTCATCGTCCGCATGGTGGAAGAGCGGAGCCAATGTTACAAAGAGGGGACAGTCCCTTCTGCTTCAGGTATTGATGGGCAGAGTTGTTGAAAACTTTCCACTAGCAGCCACTTTATAATTTTGTGCTATAAATTCTCAGCCAGTGTTTTTCTGACCTACTTTATTATTAGTAATAAAGGTTTTTTCCCCATGCAGCGTCTGTACTCATGAATACATTAGAAAACACTCTGCCTTTGGTTCTTTGAACAAATAATATACTGATAATTATAATTATCCGTTAAAATATATTTGATTCTTATTGGTGCAGATGGAAATTTATCGTTTGAAATAATCTGAATAAATTTGGTATTTCTTTTATCTCTCTATGGTTTTAATTATTAAATTTAAGCTATTATCATTTCTATTATCATTTGACCCCCCCCGCCCCCCAAATCAACCTATAGGACCCCTACCCCTGAGCACCTGAAGGAAAACTCCTTATGAGTCTTGGCCACCTTACATTGGGAAATGGGAAAGCCGAAGGGTGAAGATGTAGCAAGCTGTGATGTGAGCTTAGGCCTATGGGGTTACTAGGTTTTTCATCACCTTCTTTTATATATGTCCACTTTGTTTGTTACAGAACTATGGAACGGAATACCTGACAAGCACACTGATGTCTTTGAGCTGTTCTGCCCCCCGTCCTTGACAATCTGCCCACGTGTGAAAGAGAAAATTCTGGAAAGGTGGTCTCAACGAATGGAACAGTCACTTCAGATTGCTGCTGAGAACATTTACTACATAATTGTGGACCTCTCTGTGTGTCAACTACTTATGGACTGCGCTTATAAACATGTTTTAGAGAAGTTTTGCAAGTCCTTGAAGGCTTTATCATTACTCATCAAAAGTTCTCTGGAAATTGTTGACTTTGTGAGAAAGATGAAAGAGAGAGCTACTCACCTAGAGAGGATTTGTATTTTTGCCATCAAGGATGAAGACATGGAATACTTTGACTCCATTTTATCTGTTTGTAGTGGTGTAAGGAACTTTTATTCGACCGCAGAAGGTCAGAAAATGATGAAGTCTGTTGATGCACTGCTGAGTCCGACCAATGAAATGAAGGACTGTCACAGGCAGGATGAAGACTCCACCACGGAAAGGTATAGATTTGTGTTTTGTCAGCATTGCACAGTGTCTTCATTAGCAAAGATAGGATTGGATAAGCTTTTTAAAAATCTTTCAAAGGAAGTCTTTATAAAATATGTAAGTATATTCAGAATCTTTATTGATTCAGTTGTCTCTGCCTAAGATCCCACTGCTTATGATCGGAAAAGAGAACTATTAAAGTCATTTGTAAGATCCCGCTTGAAGGGACTAAATTCGGCTAATATCCCTCACTTCTAATCATAATTGTCTAAACAAAAACCCAGGCTTGTGCTACTGATCAACCAAGCAATGAAAATTTGCAGTCATTGTTCTGTCCATCCTGCCACAGATCATTCACTTTCATGAATGCAATCACATTTCTTGCATGTACTCAAAACTGAGTAAAGTGAGTACAATGTTTGCTCCATATGGGATCACATCAATGTGTGACGTGTTTAATTTCCCCAAATGTTACACTGACATCTGAGTCCTCCACCTGAACTGTTCTGGGTGGGAAGGGCCTACAAGGCCGCATGAGATAGGATCACATCGAACTGTGAGATCATCAGCTATTTTGCTTCCGTGGCCATCACTCTTGTCTTTCAGCTCTGCATCTGAATTTGCTAAGCAGACTGACACCCATACTCAAGGACTGTATGATCACATTGCGTATTGTAGTCATCTTTTGGCAGTGAGCTGGCCGTCTGGTTCTTCAATTAAAATTCTGATTTGTGTGGTCACAACACGGTGCTTCATCAAGACATGGGTGAGAAACTTGTGCAATCTCACAATAACCCCCTTTGGCCTACCTATTTGCTCTCATATACCATCTCTATACCCCTGGATACACCTCAGTCATTCACCATTTGCAGCTTGGAGAACTCAGGAGCATGGGGTGAAGTTACTCTATAGAGAGTACTTATGGTCTCTCTAATAAATATGGAAATTGATACCCTCAATTTTATGATTGCAAGTTGAATTTTTAACTGCTGGATGTGGTTGGCTTTGATTGTTACTCTGAAATGTCAAAATGCTGTTCAAATAACTCTAAATATTTTCTGCTATAAAAACAGATTGTCGCCACTGAGCAGCGTTAATGTGGACTCAGGTTCTTCAGATAATGGAGAACTATGATAATAAATAGTCTGTTACTTTGGGGTGTTACTATGATTCATACACAGGAAACAAACTGGTAGAAGCAAGCGCATCAGTGTTGGTTGTTACAGTGCGACTCCTTTTTTAAAGTGAGGGTTAAATTTTAGTAAAAGCTTTTTACATAGGGATACCCTACAAAGATAACCTGTGTAACAGCTGTGATCTCTTGACATTGTTGATAGAAATTTTCCTGCGATTGAATTCACACTCCACTTCTTCTCCAACTGTTTCAGTGAGGAAGTCGACAAGCCTGATTTTGATCTAATGGACGATGCAGTTCTCTTCAGTACCCCAAATCAGCCCAGTGATGAGTAAGTAGTACTCTGTGTCTTGACAGCAAAGGAAGATGTGTCGACAGCTTAGTTCAAGAATTTATTTATGTTCCCTTTGACCATTTGGAGTAAAATTGGCCTTTTCAGTGATATGATAGTGCAGCTACCTCTCAGCCTTAACACTTTGCCATCATATTTTAGGGAAAATCCAAAGAAACTGGGTCATAAACATAGCCAATCGGCAAGATGAGGCGGCAAAGTGTTAAGCCCCTTCATTGTTTAAGTCACTGATGTCTTTCTTAAACATATCCAATGCAGCCCAGAGTTGAAGCTGTCTGCCACTTAAATCATCTAAATTTTGTCGATGGGAGCATTCAACATTTTCTTTTCTTTTTCTCTTCCACAGTGACAGTAGTTCAGGCATGTGTAAAGCTGACTTCAAAGTGACTAATCTGGTCACCAAAAGGCTCTACGTATCTGTTTTGAGCCATCACTTGGACCACTGGCTGGCCTTGAGAGAATTGCATCTAGGAGGTAGGGTAATTCTTTATTAGCCGCAATTCTTTCCTTTATCATTTTTATATGGGCCTACAGTCAAACTTGTTCCATATGGAATCACAAGAGAGCCAGAACAAATTCCGACTTAGATAGGAGAATTTAGGGTGGAGCTCATGTGCAATGAGATCAAGGATGGCCTATCCAGTCTGCAAACATTGGTTCTAACTTCACACCTCCCAAGGGCTCTCCTAGCCTCTTTGATTATGGCATGCGTCAGTTTTACTTATCCATTGCCGCCAGTGCATCTCATAGGACCACTGTTAAAAACAGAAATGATCGAACGTCTTTTTTTTTTCCACCTTAACCCCGCCCATTGATGTATTAAGCACAATCAAAACAATGATTCAAGGAACTTTTTTGGGGGTTGGCTGTACAATTATGGCTTAAGGCAGTGGTTTAATTAATCTCACACATCTGGCTACTCAGAATACTTCTGTGCTGGAGCACCACTCTTGCACTTTCACAAGCAGTGGTGAAATTTCACACCCTCACCTCCCCGACTATTTGCACCACTCAAGGCTCACATAGATGGGGGTAACAGCTACCTCCAAACCACACCCCTTCCCACCATCCTCAAATGGTGGCGAGGCATGCAGTAAGCATCTGTGATGTAGGGGTTAAACACATCTCTGTTGCATGCTAGAAACCTGAGTTCAGTTCCTTAGTGGGGTGGACATTTTTATAGAGTATCTCGGTCTTTCTGCTGAGATGCTGTATCTGTCTCAACCAGAGTTGGCCTTGACTAAAATGTGTCCTTTAGAGGCCCCAAAACACTTACATTTAAAAGAAAAAAAATTGACGTGATAACTGTATATTGTCATGTTTTATACCAAATTGCCGTATCTATTTCTTTCAAGTTTCTAGTTATTGGCATTGTAAAAGTGGTGGTCCTTGTTTTGTTTCCTGAACATTTTCACTTTTGTTAAAGTCATAAGGTTGACTTTGATAAGCCATGGGTTAAAAAAAATTTTTCTTTAAACAGTAAGAAATTCTTAGGCAGTTGTGTTATGACAGTATGATAAGATAATATTTCATTATCCCAAAGGAAATTTTTCTTGGCTGTATCGGACCGTAAAAACATGTGCAGGTAAACATACAAATTTAAATTATATATTACTCTCATTAAAATTCAATATGAAAAGAGAAGTAAAGCTGACAAAATGTACATCTCACATCAGATGCATCATTCAACCACATGCAGGAATTTAATTACAAGATCTTTGGAGTTATATAGATAAATACTCTAAAGATCAATACACATTATGCTTATTCTGACGATAGCTTTATGCTAGATGGTAAATAACTTCTTTTATATCTTTCTTCTTGGTTTTTGGAGTAGCGCTCTATGACTGAAAATTTGATGTTTTCCTTTTACGTCGAAACTCTTACAGTGCCAGAGCTTCAACCAAAGATCACAGCTAGTGTGTGCAGCCTGATCCAACGGCCCCAGTTCAAGAGCTTTACTTTGTCCTCTACTGATTTCAAAGTCAACGAAATAGAGGAAATCCTTGTGGCTGTCGCCCTTTATAGGTAATTTTTTTCTAATTTTGTAGGCATTTGTTACCTCTATATCTAAATGCCACTTTTATCTTAATAGATGTAATATTTTATGCCATCGTCAACATAATTGGTCGCTTTTAAGGACAAGCGGGCTAACCCAGATTTCGGGGGTTTTCAGAAATCTTGACCTACACCAAAAGTGGGCATTGCCCTACCTATAGGAGAAGTTTGGTTATATTAGTGTGTATATTTGTTTGGTCATAGAGAAAACTCTCCTTGTCTTTTAAAGAAACTGAACAAGGGGCAAAAACTTTACCTTCGATTTTCTCAAAACAGCGTTTTTCGGGATAGCCCTCTTGTGCTTAAAAGCGACCAGTTTAGATAATTTAAGTAGCGGGCTGCCTCGACTCTGCCTATCAGGGCCAGCCTGCACTGAGGGGGATACAACGTTTGAGCGAACAGAAGGAAATATTCGATTTAAAAACCTCTCCATGTGGTAATCAAACTTGCATCTTCTGCATGCAATGGTGAAGCCCCTCCTAATTATTACACTACAGATGCAAATTTGTGGCGAACTGGAAAGTTTTCCTTTTTTTGTAAACAACCCTCATTTCATACGCATTTTTCTCTAATATTGTTCTTAATACTATTTTTTTAAATAATTGAAATGTAAAGCAGACGGACAAATTTGGATAGAGTTCGAAATTGTTTACTCTTGCAGATGGACACTAATTTTCATGTGAACCCACTACTGTAATACTTCAAATGAAAGAATTTTGTCAAGAATTGATGGAATCAGGCGCTCGTCAATTTTTTAGCATTAGAGGTTATTGGTATCGTCTTAAAGCCTGTTCATTTGTCTACCTTTTGGTGAAAAAAATATCCATCTATATTGAATATAAGTCAAAATATTTGCGATTGAAGGAGGTCAGGGTCGCCTTGTTTCAGAGGTAAAACTAGCAAGAAAATGGCCACCAAAGTGTGGTAAGTTCCATAGTCTGAGAGTCCTTGGAAACGGAAAATTTTTATTTTTTGTGCCTTTACTCAATGCTTTTCGGTAAAATCCACGCAAAATTTTTTTCCTAAATGGACATAAAAGAATCTGAGCCTAAAAAAGAAAATTATAAAAAAATTACCCATCGGCCAAAAAAATGCTGATTTCTTTGATTCCATTATTTTGACGAGTGCCTGACTTCAACAACATGCCTCACATTTCACTGCCTTTCCAAGGAATCCCAATGTACATGAATATTGTAACTGCTAAAAAAGCCGGAAGGATTGCGTCTTTCATTTAACTCTTTATGCAGCCTCATCATGTAAAGTGTTCAAAGCCGTTTTTCTCAAAACTTATCCTTCTTGGAAGATGAAGCTTTTCGGTATGTGAAAATGTCTGTTTCTAAAAATTTAATGTTCGGCTTCTGATAGCTTTCCTTAAAACCCCAGCCAAATAGTTCTCTGTTTATAAATTTTGATACAAACAAACCATCTTTTAAATTCTTTCCTGTTCCTTGCAACTTGAACCAGTAAGAATGAAAAAGGAGAGAGTAGAAAGACTTTGGGTACCTGTGGTCAAAGGGAGACAATTCAATGGAGAAACAGGAAATACTGTCCTCTTTTTCATGATCTTAACCCTATCCATAAGTCGTGTTTTACTTTCGTATTCATAAGTCGTGTTTTACTTTCGTATCCATACGTCGTGGGGAACTCTGTACCACCACTTTCCAAAGAGGAAATTTACTCGTTAATCCAATACGTACGCTTTGCATAGCAGTCTGTCAAAATGATTTTTTGAGAAATACTGAAAGTTTCAAAGAGATCTTTGTACTGGAAGTATTCTAAAATGTGAAGAATACAACCCCGGGGGTACAAAATGATCCCACGGCGAACGGATAAGGTTAATGAAAGGTTGGATCTTGGCATCTTGTTAACAAAACAAAACAAAATAAAAGTATGAAAATTAGGAGGGCATGAGAAAATAGGTTTTTTAAAGCTAGAAAAGTTTTTGAATCTATTCAAAAATGGCATCTGATGATAGCCACCTGCATTACTTCAATTGGATCCTGAAGAGACCCAAATGGTAAAAAAAAGGAAGACCATGTTGTCCCTATTATGTTAGCAAAAAGTTTTAAAGTGTTATTCCGACTGAACAGTCTGGCAGTTCTTCAGAATTCTTTAGCTTTTGCGTGAATCGCCAGAGCCCCAGCCATGTCTTTCTCTCTTCAAGGTTGGGAATTGATGGTCGTTTATCTTTAAAAGCATTTTTTGGTACTCTCCCTTTGTCAAGACTGGTCTCTTATGGAGAGAGGAATGACAGCAACAAAGCTGAATGCCCTATTTAAAAGGGACAGAAGAGTAAGCCTCTGGAGTCTTGTTATAAGCCTTTTCCTTGAACTCACTAGATAAAGTTTAAACTTACCGCAAACAGATTTGAAATAGATGACCTCCGAGATGGAATTGTTTTTACTCTGCACTCTCATTCCCTCTCTTCTTCTCCCCCCCCCCCCCCCCCCCCCCCCCCAGATCTCAAACAGCAGCCATCTGGAGGCTCCTTGGGTCACTGTACAACTGACTGACTTACTCAATTTATCTATTTCCCTACTAGCACTAGAACATAGCCTCTTTTTTGAGACATCCATGTGGCATTTTTAAAGATTCTTTTTTTTTATTGTTTATACTAACTGACCTTTGTTTCTTCAGTTCTCAGATGAGATAAAAAGAGTTAATCTTGGAGGGTTTTCTGTAGATGTTTTTTTTTTTTGATTTTGATTTTTACTCTCCTTTCAACATAGTGTTGGTGAAGGAATGGCAGCTTTATTTTGTTGTCTGTCTTAAACAGTAATAAGCCACTATCAGAAAGCTAAGAAAACTTCCGGAGAAACAGTTCCCACAGATTTTGACTAGATCAAACCTGTTATCTCCAAATTTAAATGCAAGTGCTTTGAAAGAAATACATTTGTCTTTGAACAAATGCCAGGTGTAGGAGAACAACAGTGTAGACTAAGAAGAATCTGAGTTGCTTTAAGAAATGCATGTTTTTGTTTCTGTTGCATTGTAGAATGCTCAATGATGAGAGAGGTTTTTAGGAAATAGACTTACTTTTTGACTACTGGTTATTTTGGTGTACAGTGGAAACTGCCTCAGATGGCCACCTGTTGTCAAATAGTTTTACTCTGTTATTATAATGTATGAAATACACTATGAAGGAAATGGGAAGTGGCCGTATGTTCAGGTGATTGTCTTATGCAGGTGGCCATTAGAGCGGGTATGACTGTATTTGCAAGTGACATTTTGTTATGTGGGTGGTGTGTTATTTACATCTCATTATTCTTTGAGGTCACAATATCAATTTAGATAACTCTGCTTTGTAAGTCTGTGGTCGCAGCCGTCTCGTAATGTTGCCCATAAATTCACCGAAGAGTAATCTGATCCAGATACAGTACGTCACAGTTACAGAAATACCTTTTTAAATACTAATATTGCTTACAGACAGATGACAAAATGATCCATGGTTTTGTTTTGTTTTTGTTTTTCTCTCCCTCATTCCATAGAAAGTCGAGCCCGATGGAAAAGTTGATGTTTGTCAGCGTTGTCACCAAGTGGGAGAATGTGGAGGACATCAATCTTCAAGACCAGCTGCCTGGAGAAAGTAGGTCATTCATGTCATCAACAAGAGACTTGTTAGTCTAGAAGTACTTTCCTTTCAAATTAATGTTCCTGGTTCTCTCCTGTGTACATACAACTCTAGTTTGAGGATAACCATAAATTTTTACTCAGGCCTTTGACACCTCAGGTTCCCAAAGTATGTGGGAACAAGTATATATATAGTTTTCTTTGTGGGGGACAAAATATTTGGAAGTTTCGTGTGTACATTGCACATGTTGAAAGTGACTGCAGCAATTGAAAAATTAGAAAGAGCTGGTGCCCATGCTGGCAAAATTCTTATGTTTGTCAGACATGAATATCTCAAACATGTCATGGATTGACAAATGTGTTTGACACATCCATAATTCAGGTTTACCGATAGCAAAAAATGAAAGAGATATCAGTCTAGGAATGGCTGATTTTATGAGCTGTCTGTGATTTTGAGTTTTACATGTACATGTTATCTGTGCCCAACTGTAATCCCTATCGAAAACTGAAGAAACTGTGGTCAGCATGTGGATAGACTGAATGCCTTCGAGAACGTAGAGTAAGATTGCCAGAAATGGATGAGATAGTACTTTTTAGTAGGAAAATATGAGTGTAAAAATAATGTTGCACTAGCGATTGAAGGACCTTGAGCACCCCTGAGAGCAATTACGAAACAAACAAAAAAGAACAAAAAGGAGTGAATAGATTTACTGCTCAGTGTGAGACTCCACCATACGTCACTTTTCAAAATGACGAACGGTGGTGTCTTACACTAAGCAGTCAAGATGGACCAGTTCCCCAGAACAACTACAGAAGCTGGGAAGGTGCCACAAAAATTGGGCTCAATTTCCCACATTCTCGTCATAAATTTCAGTACAGCTCAGATTCTAAATAAAGAACTCATTTTCTTCTTCTTCCTCGTTTTTGAAAGTACTCACTGAAGTGCAGAGTATCTGGATTTGCTTCGTAGTACAGAAACATTCTTAGATACAGTCATGGAGATATACCACCAGTGTGAAAGTTTTTCACGTGCTGCCACATCTAAGCACTGTACAGTGCGGCATTGAGCAGAACAGAAGCAAATTGTCAGTCAGCTGTTCAGAAGTACTGAACTCCAATTTAAAAGAAAAATATTTCAGTTTCTTGAATTAATCTGTGATATTGGTTTCTTGTATCATGAAATATTTTGTAGAAATTCAAATTCTAAATTTTGAATAAAGCAAGACAATATACATAATTGTTAAAAGAATGAAACAGGTTTTTTTTGTTTTTTTTTTTTCTCTGTTCTGAAAAATTTTGCTTCCTGGATTTAGTACATTTGAGCAGCTTGCTGATGAAAGGCTTCTGGCTCAATAAGAACACCATGACATCAATACTTTGCCTCCAGCTGTTGGGAGAAAATAGGTCAGTTATCATATCATTAGACTTCTTCTGCTCCCGTAGATTTATCATCCGCTGGGTCGTCTTTGACAGATGACAACAATTCCTCGACTCCTCTCAGCTCGCTGCTTTCCTTAGTGTGATCCGCAGCTCCATGGCTATCCGTTCTTGGCTGTTGCCCTACCATCTGTACTTCTGTCTGTCTCTCCTTTGTACTCCCAGCATAGTGCCTTGTAGAATGGTTTTAGCAAAGCTTGAAGAACGGATGACATGGCCATACTATAGCTTGGGTAGTCATTAGACTACCTTCTGCTAAATGTGCGGAAACAAATCATTTAATGTACATGAGCCAAGCACTCTTCATCATAGCATCATCAAGCAAAAGAGGAACAAAGACTAAGCTGCTGCTAGTTCCATTACAAGAAGGGCATGACTCTCAATTGTCATTGTTTATTCAGTTCATGACAGCTGTTTCTTACAGCACTCAAAGAGTGTTTCTTCCAAGTCTCTTTTAAAAAACGTTTATTTTGTTTTTACTGGGTTTGGTTTGTTTGTGGGGGGGTTATTGAAAATAACTTCTTTCTTGACACAAGAAGTTACTTTGAATGAGGGTGCCACTTCGGTGGGATTTCGGGATGGGGGAGGGGAGGGGGGGGGGTATTAGCGCAGTATGAATCTCACAGGCTGTCAAATATTATTTTATAAATTAAGCTTAACCCTTTTTACTTTTCAGATGATGAAGCTATCGATGCTTTCTTAGCTCAATATGAATCTCAAAGGCTGTCAAAGTTCTCAGGTTTGAATTTTAAAATCATTTTTAGGAAGGTTTGAATTTTGCCGACGCCCAAGGCACTGCAAGAATTCATGGGGTGCTCCTCATGAGGTTTTTTTATCTAATATTCTTTTTGCTGCTGTCTTCTAAGACTTAATTTAAATGTTTTCCATTGAGCTTGCTCTGCACGTAACCGGCAGGGCTAATGTGGGTGGGAGTTATCATGCTGTGGAAATACTTTTCACAAATGTGGGGTCTTGAAATAAACGAAATTATGTAAATAGTAAAGGTTTCTTGAATAAAACTTAGGACATGTTTTTTTCTGGAATGGGGGAATGTATAATTGAGTTTGACAGTCTGTCTGTCTGTCTGTCTGTCTGTCTGTCTGTCTGTCTGTCTGTCTGTCTGTCTGTCTGTCTGTCTGTCTGTCTGACTGACTGACTGTCTGTCTGTCCGTCTGTCTGTCTGTCTGTCTGTCTGTCTGTCTGTCTGTCTGTATGTATCTCGCTCTCTCTCTCTCTCTCTCTCTCTCTCTCTCTCTCTCTCTCTCTCTCTCCATTTTTCTCTCCCCTTCTCCCTCCCATCTCCTTCACTCGTTCTCCTCTCCCTCTCTTCCTTCCCTCTCTTCCTCTCTCCCTCCCTCTCTCTCTCTCTCTCTCTCTCTCTCTCTCTCTCTCTCTCTCTCTCTCTCTCTCTCCCACCCTCTCTCTCTCTCTCTTGCTTATGTCTCTCTGTTCTTACTGTCTGTCCATCTTGCTCTTACACTAAGCACTAATAAATGATAGCTAACATGTCAAAGTTTTTCTCATCTCTCCTCTGGTTCTGTGGCGTCCAGTGTTAGTGAGCCCAGGCTCATCGTACTTGCCAAGCTTATGATGGTAACTTGGTATTCAAATTGGTGGTCACTGAGATGTGTCCTTGAGCGAGACAGAATCACCTTTATTTAAAAACAGGTCGTCACTCAGTAATGTTGTATTGATAATTATATGTATGAGTGTGATGATAGTGTGTATTATATAACATTGATAATCAATTGGAAGTATAGATATCGTGTGTGTGTTACATATTTTATGTATGTATGTGGTGTGTGTGTATGTATGTACATGTATGTATATCATGTATGTTTGTGGTGTGTATGTGTGTGTGCGTGTACATATATGTATGCGTGCATGTATATATGATGAATGTATGTGTATGTATGTATGTATGTATGTATGTATGTATGTATGTTTGTATGTATGTATGTATGTATGTATGTATGTATGTATGTATGTATGTATGTTTGTATGTATGTTTGTATGTATGTTTGTATGTATGTATTTAGTGTGTGTGAGTGTGTGTGTGTGTGTGCATGTGGTCTGTGTGTGCATGTCATCATAAAGCAAATAACCTGCAGTGATCAGTAAAAGTTTCTTCTCTTTTTTTTCTTTTTTTTCCGTTCTATTGAGATAATGAGACTCAACACCATCTCCAGAATTCTGCCACTGGTAGCTCCTACTTTTTTACTTTCCCTCAGTTGTTTCAGTCTGTTTGTCTTACTTTTTCCCCAGCTTTTCACTAAATAACCATTATTATGTCCATCTGCTTCTTTACTCCAATAAACAAACTAGAATTCCGCGGCACAAACCTGCTGGAGTGGTACTCGTGCTCCCTGGGACTGAGGACCGAGTGCCTGATCCGACAGTACCTGACCAAGGATCGCGCCCTCACCCGCGTCTGCTTCAGCAACAGCCTGACTCGACGCTTCTTGACCATCACTCTGAAGACGGTCACTTCTCTCCGTGAGTCAGGAACGTACACACAGTCAATATATGCCATTGCTAATCGCCATCATGCATGTATGTATATGATGGGTGTAGTATTTGTTGCGGGTATGGGTGTAATATTGTGAATTATGTATTGTAATGTTAATAACCATAATCAATGCATACACATTTATAGCTACAGCCCGAAATGACTGCTCTTGACCATCATTCTGGGGGGGGGGTTCACAACATATACACTTATTTGTGCAAGCAATTATCTGATAGCTGGAGAGAGAGAGTTCTGACAAGCAGGGCCAAAGTAGCCTCCTCCTAACTTATTAATTTGCACCAATGCAGGTATACATGAAACAAGACAAATATAATGATTTTTCCTTTTTTTTTCTTTTGTTATTTCGACCAAGTTCCTCTATACTGTTTCAGGAGTGAGACTGGTAGATCCTACTTTTTTCTTTCATTTGTTGTTTCTGTCTGTCTTTTTTTGCTTTTTTCCTCCTTTGCTTAGTGATTATTGTTGGGTCAATGTCTCTTCTGTACAAACAAACAAACCAACAACACTATTTCCGCCAGGTATGCCCCTTAACCAGGTCATCATAGAGGACTGGCGTGTCCTGAGCACTGAAGACTGTCAGATCCTGGTTGGGTTCCTGCGCTCCGTCTCCTCCACACTGGAGAGCCTCAACTTGTCCAACTGTGTCCTCATGAGGGGATATTACTCCATATCAGGTACTGTAATGTTTGTCAGCACGGCTGTTGTTATTGATCCAGCAGCTTGGGAGTTTCTGTCCTTGAGAACAGTGCTGTGCACAAATTCTGAACCAATGGGCCACTCAGAGATACTCAAAATAGATATCAAAACTTACTTTACGTACTCTTCTTCCGTATGCTGACAAAACATCTTTTTTTTGTGCTCACAGCAGCTTCGAGATAAAGAGGCTTTTTGTCAGTGTAACCGCTACGTTCTTCCAAAAGTTGAATTCTAATTTATTAAAAAACTAGTCACAGTTTGACTTTGATTTTTTTTCACACAAATAGGGTAACTGATCAGGCTTTCGAGCACCCAAAAAAAATCTGGTGCCAAAAATGAAAAATAGGCATTTTGTCAGCTTCCGGCAGTACTGGAATGCAATCCACTGTAATTTTGATATGCTTCCATTGTTCAGAGAGTGTTGGAAATGTGTGCACTCTACCATCTCCTGGTGTGTTGCTACACACAGCTTGCTTTGCTTGCAGTTTTTCTATGAAAACCATGTTGATAACAACAATGTAAGTCCTACAGTGTTGACTGGCCTCGATGCGTGTCTGCATGACTTTCTGTAACACTGTTTTTGTTGAGAAAAAAAAACCCAAAACAAAACAGGCCATCATACCTGTTGCCAGTACACTCCCAGCACTTGAGCTGATAACTTTTGAACTTTTTAGCTTTCCTTGTAAGTGTTGTATTTGATTATCTTCTGTACTTGACAATAAGTTTTTAAAATCTGTACAGATTGCAGCAAAATACTAAAGGAATAAAGAATTTCTTAAAGTATTAACATTTCTGTAATTTATAAGCTGGCCTTTTGAGATTGATCCTTGTGTTTTATGTTTATTTTGTTTATTTTTATTTCAATTGCGATAACTTTCCTGAGGATGGGAAGCCAATCTATTTTGTCATATCTTATTTAATAAGATCTCATAATTTTATATTTTACATAAACTGAGACCCTGAAATTTCTACATAAAAGGTAGTAGTAAGATGGGTCAGAAAAAAATATTTTTATGTCTTTAATCATCCTTGTAGTATAATGTCGATATGCCAATTTGCCCTTTTCCAATGTGCCATACAATAGTATTCCTTTAAACACAACAGATGTATGGGATGCCTTGTGTGAGTGCAAGAAGCTGAAATGCCTGGACTTATCAGCTAACCGATTAGGTAGGTTGACAAACAAGTTTGTGTCCGAACCATTTAACTGCTACACAAAGACGGCAGTCTCATCCTTACTGTTTTCAATAAAAAGAAAATGGTGATTTGTAACTTCAAAGACAGTTTGTTTCATAAGTTTAAAGAAAAACTGTTCAGAATCTGGAAAAAAAAAAGAATTTAAAATTTCTGTAGGGGTTCATCAACGTCTGAAAATTGAACAAATATGAAGAGAAACATGTGTGCAGTTTGCCGACAGACAGCATTTTTGCAAGTTGGCTGAAACTAATATCATCGCATCAAGAAAGGTGAGGCACATTCCTGAGTCGGCTTCTTTTATCACAAAACTCAATTTTTCCTCTTTAAAGAACTGGAGAAAGTGGCGCTTTCTTTACAAAACACAACAAAAGCAGTGACCTTTTTTGACAAACTGTGACATATCCTCTGTACGTATATCAGTTTCTTTCCTCAAGTCACATGACTTTACTTGTGGTGGATGAAAGTTTACTGACCCTTCTTTATAATTGTATTGTGGATATGTCGTGTTTTCTTTAAAATGTGTGGAGATCTCATCAATTTAAAGGGTAAGAATCCAACGAAGATTTCATTGTACAACAAATATCAACTAAGCCTTACATCATGTGTACTCTAAAAACAAAGTTGTTGGGTTTTTTTTTACCTTTCCCAATTCTATTATCTGGCGCTTTTGTGTTTAGTAATAACAGCAAACCGTGCAGCATTTTGGGTTTTGAAATTAGCTGTTAGTCTTAGAGTAAACACACATGAAAATGTTTTACATAGATAAATACATGAATAAATAAGTAAATAAATATGTTTATTCACTCTTTATAGTGTTTTTCGGTAAGTTACACATCTAAGTGTTGCCATAGCGCCAACTGGAGATGGCTACCACAACTGGTTTGAAGTTAATTGTTTGGATCATGTTAGTCCTACATTCCTCAGCTCTTTCGAGTCACGAGGTGGGCACCCTCTGCCCTGCTCCCTAGTGGAGTCATCTTTACAGTGTCACCAAAGGTTCTGAAAGTTTGCATGAAATCCCATACTATGGTGGTGACTTTTCTCTAAAAACAAAGTTGCTGAAGGTTATTCAGTAAAGTGCCTAGAGCATGGGTGCTACAGAAGTGATCTTTATTATTATCATTGTTATTAATATTATTATAATTATTATTGCTTTTATTATAATTGTTAAATGGGTGAAGAACGAAAATCTTCATTTTTCTCAAAATCCGAAAAAGGGATATGTCGTATTTTGTCGCAAAACTGTTCATTTGGTTTTTGACTTGTAATGGGTAGGTCTATTTTTACTTTTTATTTACTATCTGAAGTGACTTCAGCACCCACAGTATCATACTTTATGGAAACTGGATTACAACGTTGTTTTTTACAAGAAGAATTCTTGTAAAACACAGAGAACTGTTTACTGATTAACTTACACAGACCAATAGAAACTCATTGAAGGTGGGCAGGAGGTTCAATTTACTATATTATATATATAGTTGTCACTCTTGTGGTTTTTTTGTAGGAGACGATTTACTTCCTCTTGTGCCCAAGCTGATGTGCCAGACAGATCTGCGAGAGCTGAGCGTGAGGTTTGTACTTGTAGATGTATTAGTGAATGTGAAATATAACCTAAAAAGATTGGCTTAGTTCACAGCATCAGGGTTTAATTTGGAGTTGCAGCTGTGGTATACACGAACAGTAAACATGGGGGGTTATACTTTACCTTTATCGATATGTCTTTACTTACTTCCCAGCAAAGCATGTGTTGTGTTGGTTATTTTGCTATGTATTTAAATTTTGTGTCACAGGAGTGGGTTGAAGCATAACGTCAATTTCTTCCTTTGGAGGAGCTATGAAATATAATGTCGTTGTTTTAAAATGAGTCAAAAGTCAATTGTCCATGAGAAATTAATGCAAAATGCACAGAAAGGATATTATAATCTAAGGAATGGTTGGGATATAGTTATATTTCAACTAATATTCTCATTTGCTGTACACATTTAATTTTGAGACAAAAAATGTTTGTAGCAACACGACAAAATTTGTTACTCTGCGCAACCTACTTCAGTTTTCTCACAACTGTGTGTTCTGACTCTCCCAACTTAAAGCGGCTATTACTTTGGAACCAAATCAGACTGATGCAGTTTTCGCGCACTTGAAGGGCTTGCCTGAACTGATCTTTGATTTGAAACAAAGTGTTATTATGTCAAAATGCATCATAAGACTGATTTTGTTATATATTACATATGTTACATATAAGACACCATATCCTTTCTCATAATTCTCAGTATAAACCATCTCAACATAACAAGCATCTCTCTTCTTTAAAAAATTGTCACAAGCAATTACAGAAATTCTTGAAAGCTGTTACATGCTCATTCTCCCATCATATGATTTTATTTAAGTCAGTTTATTTGGTGTATCATTTATGGTTTGTTGTTTATCCTTTTTTCTGAGGCACTGAGTGAGTGAGTGAATGAGTGGGTCCTAAGAAGAGTGAAAGACAAATGATGGGTTCATGTATACATGCGTTCAGGGGGGAGGGAGGGTGTTTTCTTTGTCTATTTTATCTTTTTTAGTTATTGGATATAATCAGTTGGTGGTTGGCGGGTGCTCTGGTGTGGTTTGCTTCTTCTTTCCTATCAAACATCTATCGTCCTTATCTCCCCTTCTTCTGTTTTATGTTTGTTACTCTCTTGTAACACCTCTAATCTTCTGGCGCTCATATGGCCTTACGCAGTTGCAAGCGGCGTAAAACCTCTACTAAAACTAAAAGGAAATAATCATTACTGTTGTACCTGACCAGGATGTATGTCTGGTTAGGAGATCGATGGAGTTCGTCATTGTCTGTTATCTTTCTCTAGCTTGTGTGCGTGAGCGTCGGTGGTCTAGTAGTTTATCTTTCAGAATCTCAATGGTAACATTGTGGATTTGATCCCATTAGGGGCCTGTCATTGTGTCCCTGGGAAAGGCTCTCTAGACTGATTTTGCTTACTTCGCCCAAGTGGGAATGGGTACATGGCTATAGATGGTGGAAGATCTTTTCGATTTGTTAGTGTTTTAGCAAGTGTAATCTGCAGCCTGCACTGTATGCATCCCAGGAAGCTGATCCGAGTATTCTGGTGTCTGCTTGAGTAATAATAGTTGTAAAGCGCCTAGAGCGTGCTGTATAACGTGGATATTTGCTAAATAAATGCAATTATTGTTGTTGTTATTTTTATTGTTATTTAAATTGTTGTGTTTATTTAGTAATTGGAAGCGCAGTACTATTAAGAGATTAATCTTTTTGTCTCTCCAGAAGGAACAATATGTCTAACGCCACCACAGTGCGGTTTCTCAAAAACTTCTCCTCTCTGGCACTACCCAGGGGTAGGATGCTCGATATCTTAGACTTGAGAGGAAACCAGTTTTCTGAAGAGGATCGCAGAAAGAACCCCGGCCTCCTACAAGATGTGGCAAAGTACATCCTCCTCAGCTCAAGTCAGATCGAATTTATGCAAGGATAGACAAATCTATATACTCAGAGAGTGAGAAATAGAGGAGAAAAAGAAATGAAAAATGTATTTATATGTGTATTTGTATGTGTTTCCTTCTAAGAACACTCATGTAAGTACCCAGTCTGCAAAAGAATACACTTTTACTTACCACGTAAGGGAATTTTCTTTCTATGAAAGTAAGAACCTGTTCTAAAAATAGAAATCTGCCTAGGAACCGAACTGGAAGTGTCTACATTCTCTAACATTAGAGATTTACACAAGCTGTCTACGTTCTCTAACGAATCAAAATTAATAGTAACAAGCCTGTATTTGAACTTCCAGATGAGGCGGGGGCTTCTTTTCAATCATTCTTTTTTTTTTTTTTTTAAATTGGTTTGCATCATGTTTTGTCTTTAGGTCTACATCATATTGGTCCGCAAGTTCACTCATTGGGTTATATTGGGTTATTTCTATTTCACAGTTGGTTCTGATAAGAGGGGTACAAGCGACTGAGGGTTTGATTTAAGGGTCTCTTGAAGGCCTAGACCTAATGTTGATATGACTGACTTGACCTTGACCCAAGTGATTTGATTTCATGACAGTGATGTCACATCACACACCCCGAATCGACAATGTTTCTCCAGACATTTGAATTTATCGCATGTAAACTGCAAGCTAGCCTATCTTCTAAATACTAATTACAGAAGGCCTGATCTTCAGTATACACAATCTTTGCTAACATTAGAGAATGTGGACAGCTTGTATACGTTCTCTAACGTTAGAGAATGTAGACACTACCAAACCCAATTTGCTTCAGCTGATTTCCTATATTGTGTGCTGGTTGGGGGTGAAGGGAGAGGTGTTAGTGTGGACTAGTAGGTGATGAAATCTACACACTGCGAAAATGTTTACAAAGAACGTTTTTTTCTTAAGCACCCATGTAATCTCTACCGAGCAAGTCAATGGCTTCATGGTTTTTTATTAGTGCAATCTTTTGCTGTTTTCTCACAGTCAAAGTGTCATATTGTATTATAAATGCTGGTTCATTCATGATCATTTTTTGTTCTTTCACTTGCACGAGGTTGCAATTAGACCTAGTTTTTTTTCATAATTTTAATAACCAATCAAAGCACAGGGACCGTGTCGTTGGGGGGGGGGGTAAACTCACTCTGTAGCCTCTGGATCTCACTTGCACCCAAACAACCCCCACCACTCCGACAGGCATACGCACTTAATTGATTTTTTTTCTGTCTCTGGATGACCAGGTTCTTAGGTAGAAACCATTGTGCAATGTGTATGTATGTATATTTATATATATATATGTATATAGAAAGAGAGAGAGAGAGGAGAAGGAAACAAAATAAGTGTGTTTGTGTTGTGAGTGTGGTTCTCTAAACGTTTCGCAAATTTCATTTTCTGTGCTTTTCACCACGAGAGGGGATTCTCCTTCATGTTTATAAGGACCAGAAATCTTTCGCCAATGGAATTTGTATTGTAACCTTTCAATCTAAAGGCTAAAATACAAAGCATGTAAGGGAAAAGAAATTAAGTTTTTTTTTTCTTTCCTTATATAAATTCACATCTACAGAATGATACCAATGATGTAATATATGTGTTTTTATTTATTCATTGCCTTATCATAAATGCTGAGAAGGGATATTTATATCATAGTCTCTGTCTCTGTCTGTCTATCTGTCTGTCTGTGTCTCTGTCTCTCTCTTTCATGTACTTTTCCACTTTCTTTCTCTGTTTTTTTCTCTCTCACTCTCTCATGCTAGCTCAAACACACCCATTGTTTTATTCAATATTTTATAGTGACTAGTTGACCAAAGAGTTTATATCAATTTTAATATGAATTATGATACGGTATGCTGAAGTATATTTAGGATGTCTCTGCCCTCCCCCCTCACCCCCTACCCCTCTCCTGAAAGAGGTCGCGTGAACATCCGCAGGTTGATTTTTGTGTGTGATATTTTCTTTGGTGCTTTTTTTTTTCCGTGTTCAAACCGCAAAGCCTGATGGGGCATCACTTTAACTTTATTCTGTGTGTCTATAGTAGAGAGAAATAATAATAATAATAAATAATAGATAGCATTTGTATAGCGCATATCCCCGCTCGACAGCAGGCTCTATGCGCTTTACACTATATTATTACCCCAGCAGACCATAGAACACTCCGAAACATTCTCAGCTTCCCGGGAAGCATACAGTGCGAGCAGCCGATTAAGCGCTCAAACACTAACAAACTGACAAGATCTTTCGCTGTCTATAGCCGGGTACCCATTCCCACCTGGGTGAAGTGAGGAAAATTCGTGTAAAGTGCCTTTCCCAAGGACACAACGTCGGGCCCCTGACGGGATTCGAACCCACGACCTTACGGTTGCGAGTCCGAGAGCCTAACCACTAGGCCACCGACGCCACATAAGAAAGTTACATGCAAACCAAAACTGAAGCAAAGCGTTGAATATAACCTATTCGCTGTTCATTTTGTTTCTCAGAAGTTCAAACAATTAATTTTTATCAGCTTCCCACCTCTGTTAATACATGTAATTAACATTATTTAGATTACATGATTATGCTTTGGGCTTTTTTTATCTTAAAGAAAATAGTTGCATACTTTGAAGTGACATCGTTTAGAAGAACCGACATCTGTGATAAGATGGTAAATCCCTTCGATTTACACGTTAAACGTGTGAGTTGATTCCCTCATCGGGAAGGCATTTTATTGAGTACCGGGTATTTTCTTTTTCTGTTGGGTTTTGCCTGAAGAGCACAAAGTCAAAATATAGTGTCTTATATGATTATGATATAAGCTGTGGCCAAGTGTGCTTTTAAAAATATGTATGTCATTTTGAATAAGACTTGTGGAAGAGGTAGGTTTCCTTGGTTGATCTTTAATTGCCTATGTGAAGTTTCCTCTGCTTTTAGATTTAAGTAAGTGCACTTATAACTTATAGCTCTCCTGTCTATATTAGATTTAAATGTTGTGCTTTTCTTAATTATATCTCTGTTTGATTTTCATGTACGAGTACTTTGGGTCATAATGCTTTTAATGCCCTTTTTGGCAATTACTTATTTCCATTCAACTTTTTTTAAACATGTTTTTACTGAGGTAGTATTTCTGAAGTGCAATTTTTTCTGTGGAAAAAGAAATTTGTGTTCCTCATATCTCTTTGTTTTACATGTTTCTTTCTTTGTCAGACTGTTGCACCATTTGACAGAAAGACGTGGTTGGTTCTGTAGGTAGACCTACAATTGAAGGATTTGTCAGTTGAAAAAGTAAAGGGTGAAGACTGGGAGTGAATGATGTAGTGCTTAATGAATTTTGTGTTTCTGTTAACACAAGTCTTCATTTTTTGCCAATTTGCTGTGGAGATGGGAGATGATGAAGTAGAGATGGGTGAAGGGTTTGTGGGTTCACAAATGATACCTGGATGATCTGTTAAAGGGTACAGGGTTTTTCTTAAGAATTACATTGTATTTGTTTGCAGTTTGCTGTGATGATAAAAACCATGTTTCTGACTAACGCATATTAAATAAATTTGTGTTGAAGATGGTAACAGTTTGATTTTTTTCTTGTTCAGATATGGATTTGTTTGTATTAAAATATAACGTGTTAGAATAGAACCAACAAATTCTCTTTCTTCTCATTCTCTCTGTCTTCTTTATCTTTTCAATGTTTTGATGTCTTTCCTACTTTTTTCAAAATGTTCATGTCGTCAGGTCAACCTGCCATGATCTTAGATCAACCTCCTTATCTTGGTCTTTCTGCTGGGATGTTGTATCCCTCTCTGCCTGAGTTGGCCCTGACAGGCTGGGTCGGAAGCCCACTTCTAAAATGATCAAAATTGTGTCAATGAAGGCATAAAAAGACCAACATTTTTTTTTAAAAGAAGAAAAATATGTTGTTTAACGTTGTCAATGCTTAGAATCCTTTCTTGAGCCCTTATTTATTAGTATGAACTGTACTATGTTGGTGTAAAAATCAGTATATGGGTGGTTAGAGGGTGCCATGGCTAGGTCCTACATCTTTTCTTTCAATCCATTGTTTATGTCTTTCTCGATTTTTCCGAGCACTTTATATTGACTAGATGTGTCAATGTGCTTTTGTTTACTCAAATAGATGCAATGCAAATTCGGGCATCTAATAAAAGGAACAGGAATAATTTATTTTTCTCTCTCCCTACCAGCGTCTATGGTGTAGCAGTTAGGCGCTTCCACGCAGGAGGCCAAAGTTCGATTTCCAATTGGAGAGAAAATTTTTATCAAGTATCTCGATCTTTCTGCTGGGATGCTGTATTCCTCTCATTCTGCGTTGACCCTGAGTGGGAAGCCTGGCTCCTAAATGATCTAAATTGTGTTGATGGGGATGTAAAAACTCCTTAATTAAACAAAAAAATCTCTCTCTCTCTCTCAGTCTCTCTGTCTTGTCTCTCTCGATGTATCTCTATCCCTCTGCCCCTCTGTTCTCTCTCTCTCTCTCTCTGTTCTCTCTCTCTCTCTCTCTCTCTCTCTCTCTCTCTCTCTTTAACTAAGTCTCTCTGTCTTGCCTCTCTCGATGTATCTCTATCCCTGTCTCTCTGTTATCTCTTTCTGTGTCTGTGTCTTTCTGTCTGTCTGTCTGTCTGTCTGTCTGTCTGTCTGTCTCTCTCTCTGTCTGTCTGTCTGTCTGTCTGTCTCTCTCTGTGTGTCTCTCTCTCTCTCTCTCTCTCTCTCTCTCTCTATTTCATATGTACGACACTTCTATAATAATATGAACCTGATCACTCACTATGTCTGCACAAGAAACACATTGCAGGACGAACGTTTAATTGGGCAGTCTACTTCAAGACACGAAAACAAATAAAAACAAAAACAAAAAAGAAAGAAAAATAGGGTAAAAAGCGCGTTTATTTGGTTACGTACGGTAACCGCCCCAGTAAGCCCTCATTCGACCTTCTCAAGTTCATGGCCCAGAAACTTGCCGTCGGCCTCTATGACTCAGTTCATCTATTTTTAGCAGCTGTGTGGTTCATGGGAGTGTTCGTCATCGGCGTGGGGGGATTTTCTACTACTACGACGGTGTCGCATGAGGCCGTGGATTGCCCAGCCGAAGCTATCGATTTTTTTGCAATGCTAGTGCTAGGCCTAACTTTACGTTCCTCCACCTAGGCTACGAAGTATTCAAGTGTCCCACATTCTCCCAGCTTATTATCTTTCCTGACCCGATGGGTGTACGCAGTCAAGATCTGGGTGGTTAGATAACAATGAAATGGGCCATACGATTCTTTCACGTTTGGTCGTTCATGCACATTAGAGCCAGTTTTAGACACATGAAGCTACAGCGGTGAATACTTGCACTTGAAGTAACATAATAAAAGGTTATAGAAAATAGTTAATCACGCACTCGTCAAAACGGTATGAATGGATAATAGTAAAACTAGGCTCCTTGAAAGCTCCTGCGATTTCGCAACCTATAAAATATAGCCCTAACTGAAGAAACTGAAACTCTTACAATGGCTCTGAAGTTGTGATAAATAAAATGGGGCAGACACACACACACACACACAGACACAAACACAAACACACACACACACACACACACACATTTGGGCCTAGATCTTATATCTCTCTATCCATATGCTGATGCTTATAATATCATTTCCAGACATCGTCCTTGGTGTTCTTCTTTATATAGGCCTAGTCTTTCTGTTATCTAATCTTTCTGCTGTGTTTCGTGTCTATACACAAAAACAGATTACAATGTCATTCACGTACTTAGCCTAAAGCATGTAATGTTTAGTTAGACCCTCTCGTCATCTAAAGATGTCGCAAGTAGTCGTCCTCTCATATTATAAATAATATTCCTTTTTTAAAAACTTCCTTCCAATATTTATGAATTGTCGATTGTGATCTGAGATAATGTATTAGGTAGTCGATTTAGATAGATCTTGCTCAAGTATTATTAGTAGCCTACATATATTTGTGTGTTATTTACCATGGGATTGGGGTGAGGAGGGTGCATGTTTGTTGTTAAATTTGTTGGGGGGGGGGGGGGTGAGTTTACAATTAACTGTTGTTTGTTGGTTCATTTTATTGATATATGTCCGTATGATCAGTCTGGTGTGATTAATTTTGTTGAATATTAAAAATTATTCGTCGCTTTCTTGTTACTATAGCGCTCAAACAATAATTTTTCTGCAAATTGCAGTGGGCACTCCGTTTGCTCATTTGATACTATATTTCTATAGCTGTTGTGACGGCGCGGTGGTTGTGGTTCGAGTACAAAACGGAACGTTACATGTACTGAAAGTCTGTTGCTTGTGAAGATTTTGAAGCTGCCCCTAGCGGGTGGTTGGAGGGCGCCACTGCCTCTTGTGTATGTGCTTTTTTTTACTCGAACCCAAACTCAAATTAACTACAGTAACGTCGCTCCACTAGCTCGGAGTCAAACTCTGAA